ATCCTGAACCAAGGGCTTTATACATCTAAGTTGTAGCATTCTCTCTTACGGAATAGATATAACCCAGAACAGCTGGCTGGAAATCAGCTCTATTACTTACACATTCTAAAAATCATATCACTTTTTGCCATAGGAAAAAAAATCACAAACTATGAAGAAAATAGTTGGCAAAGGAAGGGCAGGATGGTGTCAGTTGTGTACCCTATGTGTTTCATGGGTGTCAATGCAGTTGTGGTCTTCAACAATTCTCCTGAATGAAATAAACCCTTAGTTTCTACTCACCAAACCAGATCCTTGCCTCTCTACCCGCTACTACATAGTCTTCTTCATCTTTGATTCTGGATGCTTTACTTTCTGTTTTATGGAGTCAAAAAATGCTGGACCTGGGAATCATACATCACAACATAGTACAAGTCCTTCATTCTGAAGATCACATAATAAGTACTACATTAAATTATTTGCCTAAAGTCATGTAACTTGTTAGTTTCAGAATCTCTTTTTCACTGTTCTATGATTAATCAAGTTATGCTAAGGCACTAAGGTGTAACACAACCCTGATTTTTATCCCACTTATCTACGAGGGTTATTTTTTTCTAATGGAAAATAAATGTACAAGGCTCCAGAGAAGCTCTTTGCTGTATAATTTATGTCGGTTTTTCCAATTATTAAAATAATACCAACATATGAACCTGATTGTAAAAATTTAAAACCATACTGAATGACTTAAATCCTTATTCTTCCACCGAAATTTAACTAAGTATTTTAGGCTGCCATTTATAGAGGCTAATATGTATATACACAAATTTGTGTTTGAAACTGTACTTATTTTGTTAAATTCAGTTTAAAAATATATAGTATGTATTTTTGAAAAATATGGTTTTAAAATGTGTAGCAAAGATTCTTTTGAAGAGGCTTCTTCCATTTACAAATAAGATGCATGCCAAAAAAACTATTAGAACCTGAAAAGATATTTTGAGATTTATTATATCCTTAGTGTTTATTAGATAAGTTGGAAAGTTTGATGGTTTTTCTAAAGTTATTTTGTTTGATTTAAATATTATTTTAAAACATATATTTTGGAGAAAATAGAAAATGCAGATTATAAGTAATGAAATTGGGAATAAAGTAATCCTTAATTCCACATCCTTGAGATAATACCAGCCTTTTTGGATGTCTCTATCAATGTATTTGCACATCCACAAATACGTGCAGTGTGTTAGTAAAGTTAATTATTTTAACTAATTAGTTAATAAGAGATATAGTTCTTTTTAGGAAATTGACCATCTTCAATTAGGTAAATTCCTTACAAGTACATGGGGATGAGAATGATGAGGTCTCAAGATAAATACATTTTAATAGAAAATAAATAAAATTACAATAAATAATTACATTGCTTAGGAGAAAAAAGAAATGACAGGGATTTAATGGTGAGGGAAAGAGGAAAGGAGAAAAGGAGGGGAGACAGAGAGAAAAGAAAGGAGGAATTTCAAAGTTGTGCAGTCTAGTAGGATGGTGGCACCTTTCAGGGAAGGTGGCTGAAAGGAATTTTCTATAAAAGAATATCCAAAGAAATTTAAAGAACAAGGATGTAAAATATATTACTCTTGCATTTACTCAAATTATTAGTAACACGCCTATGATTGCCTTGGGTGAAAATGTAAGTTCCATGACAGTGGGAACATCCTTCTTAACAACAATAAACTATATTTTTATCAGTATGTTGATGGAATAAAGAAATGTTTGGGGGGAAATAAAGGAATAGGGGCTGTGTTTGGGTTAGGGAAAGTAAGCATAAGAGTTTAAAAGAAACAGGATCTCAGAATCAGAAGTGAGAATGACAACATAAAATGTTAGGAATTTACAGAAATTTTACAGAGGTAATGGACAACCCATAGGAAACAGATAAAAGACCAACAAAGTTTCTTCAAACCTTAAGTGCTGGGCTGGTGTTGTGGCTCAGTGGTAGAGCACTCCCCTAGCATGTGCAAGGTCCTGGGTTCAATCCTCAGCAACACATTAAAATAAATAAATATAATAAGGGTATTGTGTCTAACTACAACTAAAAAATGAATATTTAAAACAAAAATCTTAAATGCTATCTAATAAATAACAACCTTTTCCACATAGAAATAAATTTAGATTTATATTAACTTGAATTGTTTTACATTTAATGGATATGAATAATTTGTTTAACCTTTTGTTAATTTTTAATGGTTCACGATGAAAAATGCAATGCTGTACTGAACATTCTTGTTAATTAAAATAGCCACATAAATATAAAAATAGGAGAACCATTGATGGAAAACAGGAATCTATCACTAGCAAGAACCTAGGGCTATTCTGAAAGAGGTGATATGAATAGAAAGTCAATGGCAATACTATTCTGTTATTCTTCTATACATGAATGAAAAACCTAGTTGAAAGGTTGAAAGGTGAATAATATCTACTCAACTCCAAGTGCCTGTGGTGGAAGGAAATGCAGCCACTGGACCTGGATAACAACTGTGAACTACTCTAGGGCCAGGCCACTCAGTGACAGATAGGATACTCCGTCTCCTGCTTTACTCTACTACCAAGGGTGATGTGCTAGGAGAGAGGTAGGTGCAGTAACAGGCTCAGAAAGAGCAGCAAGGACATATTAGGAAGAAGGAAGTACTTAAGCTAGCTTCATACCACCACCTCAAACATGGAGAAGACTGCTGGGCCCAGTACTGTTCACAGGAATCCCCTCTACATTTGCTTATAATCACCTTGATCATGAAGCCAGCAAAATAAAATTAACAAAATGTAAATCTCCACTTTTCTTGTCAGAAATTAAAAAAAAAATTACTGAAATCCAACCCAACTAGTGGCGACCACTCTGTTAGGATGTGGAACAGAACAACTTATCAAACATTTGAAAAATTCAATAGAAAAGGACTAGCCAAGGAATAGGGCATAATTTCTTCCTATAAAATGACTTACTCCATGGAACTGGAGAAAAATATTAGAAAAACTATATTTAATATTCTCAAAGAGTTTTGGGAGAGCATTTCTTTTTCTTAATAATGACTTTTTTGATAAAGCATTTCATAGATGAAAACAAAGCAATATGAAATCTGGCAAGGTTGCTTTTAGATAAAAAACACAATTAAAGAATGAAAATAATATTATCATAGCAGTGAAAAGTAAACCAAATCTACAAAGTAGAAGAATTCAGAAAATTCTCCCAGAATCTAGAGGAAAGCATCAGACAGAAACATGATATGTAAAGGACTTAAAGGTCATGGAATTCTTAAACACATAGAATTTAAATTCTTTGAAGAGAAAAAGGAACAAATGAAGAAGAAATAATAGGAAAAAACTCTTGAGCTTAGGCTAATTAAGTTTTAGCTAGTTAAATCTTCTCCTTGATTAGGGAAAAAATACAGGATGTTCATTCATGCTGCTGAAAGAAATACATAGTGTAGCCAGTCTTTTTCTTTTGACATTTGCCAAATAGCAAAGAGGAAATCAGCATTTTTCCCTTAGGCAGAGACAGGAAGCTGAAAATATCAGCTGGCACTTGGAAAGACAATTATAGTGATTCCTTGGATGAAGTGTAAGAAAGAAGATAAAGAAAGATCTGAAACAAGGATAAAAGCCTGAATGGAAGCCTGCTGGTTTCCTGCCAAAGGTAAATATGTCAGTGGATCACCACTCACCTCTAGGACAGTACTTGAATTGTAGAATCCTTTAAAATAAACAGTTCCACAAATGCCTTCTTGGCTAAAACAAATGAACAAACTCACAAGAGATATCACATAATGTCTGGCTGTATCTATATCTACCTCTTTATACAAGATGATCATAAGCAATGAACCACACTGTCTCATATCAGTGTTTCATTTATGCCACTTTCCTTTGTGGGATATATACAGTTTCTCCTGTAATAACTTCTAAATACCATTTGAATGTAATTCAACAAATAGTAACTATATACATCCTATGTACCAAACCTATATGAATTCTGTGCTTCATATTATTTTTCATATGTAAATAAATGCCAGGTTGATCTTAGGAGAGTGCAAAGGGCCATCAAAGGCCAGTGTGAAATTGAGATCATTTTGTGATTACCACAACGTTAGCATATTAGTTCTCATTCCTACGAAAAAGATTTAAATAGTTCTCTAAATGCTCCCCCTCCCCCATGAAAATGAATTTTCAATATTCTATTTGAAAACATGATTTTGCATACAAAATATAGGCCACAATATCAGTTAAGGTTCTCTTTCACTTTAAGAACTTGGATAATATTGACTTGAACCTTTATTCTACATCCTGTTAAAGTCTAAGATTTTCCCAAGGATTTTATAATTTTTAAATTTATGGATTTGGGTGGGGGATGGTGGAAGTTTTTCAAGTTCTCATGTTGACCAAAGGTTTACAGCCCCTCCTGGATTTGTCCAGTTTATAAATTACTTCAGTCTCCTAGGGACACATTTCCTGTATACATACAATAAAACCAGATGTGGAGTATTTAGCTTCTTGCCTCAAAAAAGAAATGAAAGAAAAATAGCCACACAAAGCCTACTGTGCTCTCTTCCAAGAGAAATACATGAAAAGGGGTTGGGTTTTCCAGGTCCAAGGTCTTCCTGCTTTTGAACTCAAAACTGGAATACTGGCTTTTTCTGGGTCTTGAGCCTGCTGGTGTTCAAACTTAAATTTAACCACTGCTAACTCTTCTGGTTCTCAAGCTTGCTAACTTCAGATCTTGGAATTTGTTAACCCTTGTAATTGCATGAACTTATTTTTTTTATAACAACCTCTGCCTTTTTCATATACCCACACATAATGAGGAGGAGGAGGAGGAGGAGGAGGACAATGTAATTCATTAAGTCTGATCCAAATGGAGAACACAGGTAGAATAAGCAAATCTAGATGGTAGGACTGATAAATTAGCTCTAGCTTCTTCCCTAGTAAATTTCTCAGCTACTATATTTCAAAAATTGGTACAATTCCATCTTATTTCTGATTTTTAGATATGCCATTAGTTGATTAGCAGCATTACTTCTCAACAATACAAGATTTTACTTATACCTATAAACTGAAGAAGGTCTTAAGAGCTCTGAACACTTAAGAGTAAATGGTGGTGAGTATGCATATAAATTTTTACTTTTGTCTTGCTGAAAGAACACCTGATTGAATCTTTTAACTGTACACCATATAAACATATAGGGTGGTTGATAAAGCTCAATAACTAGCCAAATTACTTAGCCAAAGTTAAGGCCATGATTATGGAAATTTGACTACTATATCAGAAATGGTTAAGGATTGTCTTTTGGTGACAATGGCCAGCAGTATGATGCCTTGATAAAAAATATAGATACTCTTGAGATTATTAGTTGGATTGGAAACTCAATACTGTCCATTTACCTATATAAACTTGGAAAACAGTTAATTTCTGGCACTCACTTTCTTAATCTGTAATATCCAGACAATAATATTATGTACACTTAGACTATTGTGAGGATTAAATTAGTTAATGTATATATTAATGCTTATAAGGGTGTCTGGCAAATAATGGTAGCTGCTATTATTTCATAGGAAGAAGTTACCCATCAGCATGGACCACTGGGAACTGATGACTTGGAGTGATGTCATTGTTGAAGTACTTTGCTATTACCCCTCTCATCATACATCCCAAAATACTGGAGCAAGTGGCTCCACCACTTAATAGATGTGTGACTTTGGATAAAGTACATCTTCACTAGTTTCATGTCTTGTAAAACTGTGATAATAAAAATACTTCTATCACAGGGTTGTTATGATTTAATTAAATAATGAACATGAATGTTTTACAAGTCTTAAGATATGGTTTAGTAATACTGGCCATTTCTGATAATTCACAAAATTGAGTGGATATGTTAGGATGGGAAAAATAGTGGGCTTAATTTGTAACTTGAAGAACTAAAGATTAAATAATGAAAAATCTTGCAATAATGGGGTTCATCTTGACAAGACAATCTTGTCAAAATTGGTAGAACTGATTTTGTTAGGACTGACTAAAGGCATTTTACAGGACAAGGAGTTTGGTATTTTAGGATTAAATGAAAATATTTTAAGCAATGTGTTTAATTTTTTGAACTAAAAATTTTTATATAAAGGCCAGTTAAAGAAGTTTTTATATAAGATACTTTTGTACCTTAGTTCTAGATACATTGTTCTATCACTAGGTCTTTGAAAATTCATTTGGGAGGTATTTTTTTATACCTCTGATACTTTGGATATGTTCTTTCTAAAATAATACAGAACAGAGATTTGTAATTTTAATATTATGGGACTTTGGGGATTTCAGAAAACATTTTATAAGGGCTCTATTCTGGTACAATTATTCAGAAGTAAATCCTGGGAGATCTTACCCAATAACTGCTTAATATTTTAAGTCTCTTCTATAGGCACACAATTTTTGCAAGGTTTCTTTGGTTATAATGCAAAAGTAAAGAACTCCAGTATAGACACTTATCCATTATTCACTGTAATAAAAGCAGTAAAGGTTGAATAATCACAGTTGAAACACACCACCACGTGTCAAAGGGAAAGGAAAAGCTCACCCAAGGTTAAAGGCATATTGTTATTATCATTCTTTTGGATTGGTATTTCCTAATATTCACTTTTTGGGGTGGGGGTTTACTGGGGCTTGAACTCAGGGGCACTCAACTATTTAACCACCTCCCCAACCCTATCTTGTATTTTATTTAGAGACAAGGTCTCACTGAGTTGCTTAGCACCTAGCTTTTGCTAAGGCTGGCTTTGAACTTATGATCCTCCTGCCTCAGCCTCCTGGGCCAAATATTCACACATTTTGACTTACTATTCTTTCCCTGAAAACTCTTAGGATTCTAAGCCTTTTGCTATATATGGCATCCATACAACTCCATCATAAGGTTTCCTCAATTTGTTAACCTAAATTATGCAACTTCTTCATTTTATAGAACTTACTCAGGCACCACACTCTCAATTTGGCTAACTCCTTAGCTTAAAGCTCCAGAGCTCCAGGAGATCTTATTGACCCTAGTCTAACTCTGGTAGATTTAGACTATTTAATAAGGTTTTCAATTAAAACATACATGACTTTCACATTATGATAGGCAACTAATGTACCTCAAGTATTTCTTTATAAATGTTAATCCATTTTCTGTTGACAATTAGTTGTGTCTAATTAGTTGTACCACTACCTGAATTTGTTGAACATTACTGAGAAATATATACATGTGCATGTATATATATGTAAAGATATCTATCAGTGGCCAGCAAAATAAATAATATAGCTATGAGATGTAAGTTCATACAATTAACTTACTTAATGTGCATTGTTAAAACATAACTGTATAACTACTTTTATATTTAGGTAGCCATATCTATTTCTACATATACATGCATGCACATACACACAAAATTTCCTAATAGTATAAAATTTATTCTTTACAAACATGTTTCTTTTAGGCAAACAAATTCTAAGTCATTATTTTTCATTAGTTCTTCACTGTAAGACATTATAATCAGAAGACCTGATTGCTTGTCTGTTCAAATATTAGTCACCTAATATACAATAGACAAGTGCGTGTATGTATGTGTGTGTGTGTGTGTGTGTGTGTGTATACACTCACAGTCTTAATTTAAGTATAATTTCTTTTTTGAAATAAACTTATTGCCATCTATAATTAAAACATGCCTAAGCTGTACTGATATCAGATAATGTACATTTTTATAAAGCTATGAAAGAAATGGTTAAGTCAAATGCTCCTGTTGCTTAAAGAACTGTTTCTATGAATAGGGTCTCCTTACTGTCTAAGTCATTTCTTTTGCTTTCTGCTTTTTTGGTACTGAGGAATGAACTCAGGGGCACTCAACCACTGAGCCACACCCCAGCCCTATTTTGTATTTTATTTAGAGACAGGGACTCGCTTAGTTGCTTAGTGCCTCACAGTTGCTGAAGCTGGCTTTAAACTCCTGACCCTCCTGCCTCAGCCTCCAAAGCAGCTGGGATTACAGGCATGTACTACTGCACCCAGCTTAAGTCATTTCTTGATGGTTTAGAAAATATATGAAGGATTTCAAGTCTCCAACAAAACTACCTACTCTGCTGCCAATCATATCTTTGAAAAATTGTTAGTAAAATTCTCAAAGAAAGCACATTTCTTTAATCTGCTCCCTATCATATAGGCACATATAATCAGTGATTTCTTAGAGAATAATGATTATCTCTAAAAATCTCAGCTTCTTAGACCTTGCTATATTTGTTATAAGGAAGCTCATTCAGCTGACCTCAGCATAATGAATAGAGATGATGTAAATTGAACTGAATTCAAGGAAATCAGACCATCAAGTAAAATACAGTAACCACTAGCAATGCATTTCTGTCACTGTTTGTCTCCAGTTTTTATCCTAAGCTGTTTGTCAGATAAAGTATGACCATCTCTTATCCAGCTTCAATTACTCCTATGTGTAGAGTAACATTCAAATGGCCCTTTTAGCTATTAAAAACATCCAGCCCAGAATTTTAGCATAAAAGGTTTGTAGATACAATGGATGAACAAGCAGGACTGCAAAGTTTTGTTTTGGATCCTGAAGTAGCTGTCCAATGACGAGATGCTTCATATTTCAAAAACTCTCCTATAAGAAATAATAATTTCTCTTCATGTTGAAGAATGGCAGCTAAAAACTCTTAGGTTAATTTGTGGAAGTGAAAAAGACATAAGCTAGTTTTCTTTGTCCAACTCAACTTAGGCTGTCATTGTGAAAAAAAAAAGTCTGCTTAATTGCACTGGCACTGAGAGTTTATTTAAATGAGATAAATGATTAAAGGGCAGCTCCAAATTGTGCAAATGAAAATAGTACCTAGATGAAAACAGGAAAAGTTGCCTCATGCTTCCAGGAAATTTTATTTGGGAATATATTTCTCTTTCCTTTTTAATTACAAAGCACATTTCATTGTAAACATATTTTAATTATAAACAAATATCAAAGCCACTTAAGCAAATAGTTTCTAAACTGTGATCAGTAGAAGACTCCATTGTCCACTTCATCAGAGAAGGGCCCAAGAGAGGGGGACACTCTATTCCTTAGCCCTTGAAAGCAGCTTTTTATCCTTTTTAAATGGTGATCTTATGTATAATAGTTCAATAAACTCCATTACTGAGGAAACTGAAACCATTTCACTAAATAAGTTCCCTTGATAAAAACCTATGATTGTAATTTACTCAAAGTTCTGTTAGTTTTGAATCATTTGTTTTCATTATGGGCTGTGTAGAAATTAGTGGACATAATGAGGAAGCTTGCTCTACAAAGAAGCTATTGCTTTTTCCAAAGATGAGACTTGAATTAAGACGGAAGATTTCACTTTTGGCATTCTGCTTCATTTGTCTGAAAAGCCTCTTCTTTCTTAATTTTTGGGAAGGTGTTTCTAAGCTGTTGGAATGCCTGAAAAGGAAGTTTGGATATAAAATATCACCTAGGTTCCCTCTACTCATAAAGCTTAGCAGAATAAAGATATATGTCTTGAATAATATGATATTTAATTTCAAGCCTGGAAAGTCTGGCCACGTGCTAGGTTTCTTGATACTTTACATCAGCTATTTCAATTGTTATGACCTTAGTTTGCTGAAAACCAGTGTTTTGCTCTTAATTTCAAAGTTTTCATAAACAGACACAGAATAGCATTATTAGAACTGGAAATTTTATTATTTTCTGGAGCCAAATGTGCTGTTGGTTCATACAAGGGTCAAGGTCAGTTACACCGTCTGGTTCCTGTCCACTGGGTTGGGGCAAGTCACGTAGACATATTTTAGTGTTTAAGGTAGATGGATTCTTAAACCAAGTCAAGATTGAAGGGGCTTTTACAGGTCCACCACAAACTGTGTAGTTTGTGTGGAAAACCAGCATCACTGTCAAGAGAAGCCATGGTGGAAAATAATAAAATGGTGTTAATCCCTAAGTTTGAAAGGGAAAGTGAAGACAAATACAGGAGAACAACACCATATGTAAGGTGGATGAGGAGTCTAGAAGCAGGATCAAATTTGAGTACTGAGTACAGTATAGATGATATAGTTAGATAGCCTCTTTCAAAATCATGTTTCAGTCACTTACTAACAGTGTGGCTTTGAGGATATATCATTAATTCCTCTATACATTAGCTTTTACATTTTTAAAATAATGGATATTGAAAACTTACCTAAAGTGTTGTTAGGAATAAATGTATAAAAAGAAATACTGTGGTATTAGCACATAGTAAATATTCTACAGTCATCATTATGACTATGGTAAGATTCTTATTAAAAAAGGAAAAACATAACTTTTTCCAAGAGGAACAACTTTGCAGTAATGGAGTCATAGATGTAATGAGGCACCAGCCAGGCAACATGAAAGCCAAATACAATCCTTAGACAGTGAAATAAGGTTTGCTAATAATAAATGATAAATTTATTTAGTGCTTACTCTGTACCAAGCTTTGTGTTAGTAATACATTGCACGTGTGATCTCATATAATCATCACAACTATAAATAAGATTAGTGTTTTCCAATTTCATTTTATAACAAGGAAATCCAGGCTCACAGAAGTTAATTTGCCCAGGGTCAAGAGTAAGTAGCAGGTAGTTGGGATCCAAGTTCAACTTTACATGCTAAATCTATGCTCATTTTATATTAAACTACTGTCTATCCATAGCACATAGTGCCTATAAACCCAAGCAGTTTTTTGCCTCAGAGGTTTCAGATATATCATTTACTCTATCTTACAGTCAGATGTCTACTTCAGCACATGCACTCAAGTGAATACCACATGGAAATTTTATAAAATGAGATCATTAAAA